CACCCCCTACAGTGAAAATCTCTAAAAAAAAAAAAAAAAAAAAGAAAGAGAGGGAAAGTGAGAAAGCAAGCCGCCAGGCCCAGGATTTGAACCGTGGTCAGCTATGTGGGAGTACAGCATCCTTAACCACCATGCCACCTGCTGGCCCCAATTTTACCTTTTAAATATTGTTGGGACCCAGGAGCTGGTGCCATCGTTTTCTTTCCATGAATTCTCAGGAGATTGTTGGTAAACATGTTGTATATACCCCATACCCAAGCTACTACCTGCCTGACACCTTGGTTTATGGGTACCAAGCAACTTAAATGCCTACGGGGCAAGAATGTAAAATGAACGTATGAACTGGGCTAACTAGTTGCTACTAAAATAGAAAAATAATACTGAGAGGACTGGGGGGAGGGGAGGAAACCACATTGTGCTATCCAAACATACATCCGGGACACAGCCAGTTTCAGATGCCTGGGTAGTTCTTATGGACTGCCACTTCTCACTACCATCTTTGTTTTATCACTGAAACCTTTCGTTAAATCGCTAAATAAATAAATAGAAAATCATCTTCATAATAAAATAACTATCACCTATTTAGTGCTAATTACTGTTCGGAGTGATTTTCAGACATTTTTTTCTAATTTAAATCTTCCTGTAACCTTATTGGATAGGTATTACTTGTGTTTTACAGGTGAAGAACTGAGGGCCAGATAGAGCAAGTATGTTTGCTCAGACTTTTTAGTCTCTGCACCCTTGACTCTCTTCAAAATTATTGAGTGCCCCAGAGTGCTTTCGTTCATGTGGGTTATATCTATTGGTATTTAAATTCAGAAATTAAAGGAGAAATATTTTAAATATGTACTTATTTGTTCTTTTAACAACAATAATAAACCTTTTATCACATCTAGCTATGGAAAATTGCTAGATTTGGGGGGAAAATAAGTGGCATTATTTTACATATTAGAAAATATCTGTGGACTGGCAGGTGGTGTGGTGGTTAAAGGTGCTAGATTCCCACATGGCCAACCACAGTTCAAGTTCCAGACCTGATGACTTGCTTTCTCGCTTTCCCTTTCTCTCTCTCTCTATCTGGTCAAATTGAAACATAATAACAAATGGAATTAAGTAAATAATTCTTTCAAAATAAAAATATCTGTAACATCTGACTTAATTAGAAGACAGCTCAGGGCCACCAGGTGGCATAGTGACTAAGGCGGCTAGATTCCACATGACTGACTGTGCGGTTGGAGTCTCAGACCCAGCAGCTTGCAAAACATGCCAGGCACATGTGTGTGCATGCCCAAAATCCCAAAAGGAGAAATGGAGGAAAAGGGATTGTGGCATGATCACCTCCATGGGTGGTGGTTTCTAACTTTCCTCTCTCTGTCAAATGCATGTACCTTCTAGCAAATCAAAAAAAGAAGAAGACAGCAGCTTAGTTACCTATTTCTACGTGCGGTTGGTTATAATATCACACATCATGTAGTCCCTACTTCGTATCATGAGAGAATGAGCGTGATTAAAGGCAGATAGTATTACTGCAGAAAAAGGTTTGACTTCATGGACTCCCTGAGTCTTGGGACTCTCGGGACCACTGTACTACAGGAGACTGTCTCTCTGTCTTATGAGTCAGTTGGGGTTTGGTAAAGAGGAAAAGATACATTGGTGGGGCTGCTTCGCTTGACTGTTGATGCTGTTGACTGGCTTCCTGTAGCACACCCAGAAGGAGTAGTTTCCATGCGACACATCCCAGAACTTTTTCAGGGATCTAACCCTGAAATTTTAGAGGGGACAAATCTGGCAAATACATTTTTAAAAGATTTTATTTTAAAATGTTTTATAATTGCCTGTGGGCTGTACCTAACATTCCTTCGGCATTCAGAACCATGAAACATAGTACCTCATTAACAAGAATACACCAGAAAGTGACCAGATGCTGGATTTCAAATGGTATCCATCTAAGAGATGCTTTATGGAATACCAAAATGATTAGTAGGCACAATCTGGGTCGCTAGCCTGAGACACAATTTATGCATTAGCTTGTAATTTACATGGTCATAAGTACTCTAAAGCATTTCTTTTTTTAAAAAATTTACTTATTATTATCATAATCTTGTTTATATTACTTTGAATCGCATATAACTTTATAGTGTATTACATTGCTTTATCAAAAGGGAATGCCATGCATGTCAGTCAATACAGAGACATCAAAATCCCCACTTCATCATTCAATATCATTTTTTCTCTGATCATTAATATTATTATTCCAATTATTTTTTAACCAATCACTATTTCTCATTTTGTCTAAAGCATTTCTTAAAACTTCCTTGCACGAAGTGTGGTGGTTAAAGGTGCTAGATTCCCACATGGCCAACCACAGTTCAAGTTCCAGACCTGATGACTTGCTTTCTCGCTTTCCCTTTCTCTCTCTCTCTATCTGGTCAAATTGAAACATAATAACAAATGGAATTAAGTAAATAATTCTTTCAAAATAAAAATATCTGTAACATCTGACTTAATTAGAAGACAGCTCAGGGCCACCAGGTGGCATAGTGACTAAGGCGGCTAGATTCCACATGACTGACTGTGCGGTTGGAGTCTCAGACCCAGCAGCTTGCAAAACATGCCAGGTACATGTGTGTGCATGCCCAAAATCCCAAAAGGAGAAATGGAGGAAAAGGGATTGTGGCATGATCACCTCCATGGGTGGTGGTTTCTAACTTTCCTCTCTCTGTCAAATGCATGTACCTTCTAGCAAATCAAAAAAAGAAGAAGACAGCAGCTTAGTTACCTATTTCTACGTGCGGTTGGTTATAATATCACACATCATGTAGTCCCTACTTCGTATCATGAGAGAATGAGCGTGATTAAAGGCAGATAGTATTACTGCAGAAAAAGGTTTGACTTCATGGACTCCCTGAGTCTTGGGACTCTCGGGACCACTGTACTACAGGAGACTGTCTCTCTGTCTTATGAGTCAGTTGGGGTTTGGTAAAGAGGAAAAGATACATTGGTGGGGCTGCTTCGCTTGACTGTTGATGCTGTTGACTGGCTTCCTGTAGCACACCCAGAAGGAGTAGTTTCCATGCGACACATCCCAGAACTTTTTCAGGGATCTAACCCTGAAATTTTAGAGGGGACAAATCTGGCAAATACATTTTTAAAAGATTTTATTTTAAAATGTTTTATAATTGCCTGTGGGCTGTACCTAACATTCCTTCGGCATTCAGAACCATGAAACATAGTACCTCATTAACAAGAATACACCAGAAAGTGACCAGATGCTGGATTTCAAATGGTATCCATCTAAGAGATGCTTTATGGAATACCAAAATGATTAGTAGGCACAATCTGGGTCGCTAGCCTGAGACACAATTTATGCATTAGCTTGTAATTTACATGGTCATAAGTACTCTAAAGCATTTCTTTTTTTAAAAAATTTACTTATTATTATCATAATCTTGTTTATATTACTTTGAATCGCATATAACTTTATAGTGTATTACATTGCTTTATCAAAAGGGAATGCCATGCATGTCAGTCAATACAGAGACATCAAAATCCCCACTTCATCATTCAATATCATTTTTTCTCTGATCATTAATATTATTATTCCAATTATTTTTTAACCAATCACTATTTCTCATTTTGTCTAAAGCATTTCTTAAAACTTCCTTGCACGAAGGAGAGGAATCAGTGGCCTGCACTGAAACAGTTTGCCGAAGTCTACACAGCAGTACTATTCGCCTTTTTCCAGACCCTGAAATAAGGTCCTCCACACACACTCCCCAAAATCAGCTTCTCACACTAGCTTCCTTTCTCCTCCAACAAGACTTTCATGCCCTCAGAATCTAGGCTTTGGCAACAGTTGCTTTGTATTTAAAATTGTCATTAGTGCTTTGCCTTTAAAGTCAATATTGCTTTACTCGGGGACCCCTGGTGTTTCTGTGTTCTTGCAAACAGAATTACTCAAATTGCCTCCAGCCAAAGCTGCAGAGATGGAGTGTCTTTTTACTACCAGGGGAAAAAGGGTTGTTGATTCCAGGGCCACAGCCTGTCAGGAATATCTGCAGAAGCTCAGCCCACCTGTCTACTTCCTCATTCCCAGCAACTCCCGCGGCCTTTGCAGCTACATCAAGGTCTCTTTGTTCTCCACTTTTAACCCTACTTTTCTGTTTTTCAAGATGTGGGAGAAGGCGATCAAACTGAGCAAAGAGTTGGCTGAGACTTACGAGAGCAAAGTGTTTGACTACGAGGGCCTTGGCAACCTCCTGGTGAGTCTGGGTCTAACTATATTAAGCCTCCAACAGGGCTGCTAAAATTAGTGCCATGAAAATGTTTGGGTAAGTTTAAGAAACTCAGGATAAATAGTGTTTTCTCCAGTGGAAAAGCAAGCATTCCTTGAGAGAAACATGAAAAACGATGCAGTCCAAAAGCTTTGATGTTTATTTCTCCACATTCTTCATCCAAGGCTCAGGATCATGGAGTAGTAGGATTGCCACAAAGGGGTGGTAGGACATTGAGCCTCAGATACCAGTGAGCTGGCATGGTCTTCCTCAGTGTACCCCCACACCCTGGTCTGCAGCTTCCTCTTCCTTCCAGTGCCATTTGTTTTTCTGTGTGCCCTCCATATTCCTGGGGCATCCCCTCCTTATCCTCTCACCCTGCTATCCAATAACACAGTCCATATTTCAGATGTTTTCAGCATGTTCTGTTCATCAGCAGTGACCCGTTCTGTGGTCCACATCTTCGAAGTCCTATTAAATGAATGAAGCACAGATCTTTGAAGCAATTTTTTCTAAGAGTTCCCTTGCACGTATCTTGATCAGTTGCAAAATGTGTCTGCCTGATCTCGGTTCTCTTTTGCCTCTTCCTTCTCCCTCAGGTCCCTGCACTGCTCAGGACTGACAGCTCCCTAGATGTGTGTATTACTTGGCTATAGGCACGACTGATCTATTGAAAAAACAATAAAGCCCAACAAAAATAGCTTTCTGTTTACCCAGCAGGAGGCAAATGCAATACTTGGGTTTAAAAAGTTTTAGTAGAGGGCTCTAAAGAGATCAGATCACCCCTTGTCACAGAATAGTCCTTTATTCAAGAAGCTGTTTTCCAAGATCACTTGGTAAAAAAATGTACTAATGTTCTATACTATTGGGTCAGAAAAGTCATGATGTAGTTTTCTTTGCAAAAATGTTTTGTGACTTTTCTGACGACCCAACAGCTCCTGCCATCATGTGGAAAGAGTTCACTAATTTCATGAACTGAATTGGGTTGATTCAAACTGCAGTTGACCATGTGGGCGTCCAGTGTCCATAACCACCATGCCACCTCTCATTCCCAGCAACTCCCGCGGCCTTTGCAGCTACATCAAGGTCTCTTTGTTCTCCACTTTTAACCCTACTTTTCTGTTTTTCAAGATGTGGGAGAAGGCGATCAAACTGAGCAAAGAGTTGGCTGAGACTTACGAGAGCAAAGTGTTTGACTACGAGGGCCTTGGCAACCTCCTGGTGAGTCTGGGTCTAACTATATTAAGCCTCCAACAGGGCTGCTAAAATTAGTGCCATGAAAATGTTTGGGTAAGTTTAAGAAACTCAGGATAAATAGTGTTTTCTCCAGTGGAAAAGCAAGCATTCCTTGAGAGAAACATGAAAAACGATGCAGTCCAAAAGCTTTGATGTTTATTTCTCCACATTCTTCATCCAAGGCTCAGGATCATGGAGTAGTAGGATTGCCACAAAGGGGTGGTAGGACATTGAGCCTCAGATACCAGTGAGCTGGCATGGTCTTCCTCAGTGTACCCCCACACCCTGGTCTGCAGCTTCCTCTTCCTTCCAGTGCCATTTGTTTTTCTGTGTGCCCTCCATATTCCTGGGGCATCCCCTCCTTATCCTCTCACCCTGCTATCCAATAACACAGTCCATATTTCAGATGTTTTCAGCATGTTCTGTTCATCAGCAGTGACCCGTTCTGTGGTCCACATCTTCGAAGTCCTATTAAATGAATGAAGCACAGATCTTTGAAGCAATTTTTTCTAAGAGTTCCCTTGCACGTATCTTGATCAGTTGCAAAATGTGTCTGCCTGATCTCGGTTCTCTTTTGCCTCTTCCTTCTCCCTCAGGTCCCTGCACTGCTCAGGACTGACAGCTCCCTAGATGTGTGTATTACTTGGCTATAGGCACGACTGATCTATTGAAAAAACAATAAAGCCCAACAAAAATAGCTTTCTGTTTACCCAGCAGGAGGCAAATGCAATACTTGGGTTTAAAAAGTTTTAGTAGAGGGCTCTAAAGAGATCAGATCACCCCTTGTCACAGAATAGTCCTTTATTCAAGAAGCTGTTTTCCAAGATCACTTGGTAAAAAAAATGTACTAATGTTCTATACTATTGGGTCAGAAAAGTCATGATGTAGTTTTCTTTGCAAAAATGTTTTGTGACTTTTCTGACGACCCAACAGCTCCTGCCATCATGTGGAAAGAGTTCACTAATTTCATGAACTGAATTGGGTTGATTCAAACTGCAGTTGACCATGTGGGCGTCCAGTGTCCATAACCACCATGCCACCTGCCAGCCCCAATCAGTCTTTTTTCTTTTTTTTTAAAGAAAGGTTTTTGCTACAGGGAACGAGTGTTCGCCAGAAAGACAGGGAGAGACCGAGAGACAGAAAGTAAGAAATCACCCCTAAGGGGGTATGGCCATGCCACAGTCCTTTCTCCTCCATTCTCTTCTTGGGATCTTGGGCAGGCACACACACGTGCCCAGCGTGAGTTTAAGCCACAGGGTCCGGAACTTGAACTGTGGGTCAACTACATGGGAGTCCAGCAACATAGCCATTACGCCAGCCGCTGGTCCCCGAATAAATAATTATTTTAAACAAAAAAAGTTCCTTCTAACCTTTTGGGGCCTTGAACCTCCTTAAAGAAATTTCTGAAAACTATACACCGCCTCCCTCCGCAGGAGAATGCACAGCTTTACACATTTCTGCATACTCCGGAGATTCACAGCCCTCCAAGGCCCATTCACGAACCCCAGGTTCAAAACATTTGATCCCCAGAAATGATGCCTCTTTTATTTTGCAAAGACCTTTCAGCTTTCTTAGTTATGTGGGAGACAACAAAGCCAATGGTCTGATCTCTTTTTAAAACATGGTTTCCTTGTAACCTCCTAGTGGAATGTCTTGTTTTGTTTTCCAGAAAAAAAGAGCCTCATTTTATGAGAACATCATTAAGGCAATGAGGCCTCAGCCTGAATACTTTGCTGTTGGATACTACGGACAGGGCTTTCCTTCTTTCCTACGGGTAAGAAAACAGGGTGGTCTCCAGAACTGTCAGGATGGAAGATATTCATTTTTTTCCTCCAGATGGGCCTGAGGGTGTTAGCAGCTGCCGACCCGTGTTCTCTGTGTGGGAGGTCAGGGAGGGAAACCACTTCCTGAGCATTTGGCCTCTTCACCCCACACCCCCGGACACCACTGGAATTCTGGCAGATCTTTCGCGAAATGACTTCCCCCAGGTGGGATGGAAAAGGCAAAAACAGAACCATCCCCTCTGCTAGTTTGCCGCCACAGGTCAGGCTGCTGAAAAGTGTGGACTGAAGCATTGAGCTGTTTATTTTATTTCCAGTAGAGCTAGTTTAAAATCAAGTATCTCAAGAACAAGACTGCAGGAGTTTTCCAAAAATACAAACAGCTCTGTTGTAGTAGTGACCGGGCAGTATTTTTTCTTTAGTCTCAAAATTGCTTATAGTATAATATTGATTTTACTATTTAAGAAACTAAACGCTTACTGCCCTTTACACAAATGGAAACCTCTTTTAAAACAGAGCTCTGTTTAAATATATTATCCATCTTCCTTTTCCTAATTAAAAAAAAAAAAGCGATAAAAGAAAACAATTTGCATTCTTCCCAGGGCCTAATGAGAAGTTAGTTTATCCATTTATTCAGTAAGTGTTTATTGAGTGACTTCTCCGTGCCAGCCACATGTGAGGTATAAGAAATACCCTGCTGATGGGACCAGCAGATGGCATTTTGGTTACATCACTAGACTCACATGTAGTCACCTGTGGTTCGAATCCTTGACCCAGTGACTTAAAACTCACACCAGGCACATGCACACGCATGCTTGGGATCCTGAGAGGAGAATGGACAAGAAAGGACTGTGGTGTCGCCATCCCCCCCAGGGGGTGATTTCAGGCCTTCTGTCTTTGTTTCTGTCTCTCTAGCAAGTGCACGCGCCCTATAGCAAAAATCTCAAAGAAAGAAAATAAAAAAGAAAGAAATACCTTGCCGATTATGCTCAGACATAGACAATACACTCTAGGACTTGACAAGCTAGTGGGAAGATGTAAATAATCATACAGTGATTGTAAAAATTAAACTAACCAAGCAAGGTATCCTGTGCTATTTGTAACCAGAGAGAATTTACCTAAATTAAATAAAAACCTGTCTTATCACAAAAATTATACAAGAATATTTGTGGTAGCTTTAATCAAAATCACTAAAGACTGAAGCCAGTGCATATGTCTCTTGATTGGTGAAGGGTTAATCACATTATGGTAAGCCACACAATGGAATATTACTTGGTCATGAAAAAGAATGAGGTCCTGATAACACGCAAGCACACGAATGGATCTCAAATGCCTTATGCCAGGTGAAAGAAGTTAGACTTTAAAGGTTACACACTCTACGATTTTATTAGAAGATACTCTTGCCAAGACCACACTGGAACAGCAGGCTGGGACAGAGAACCATTTAATAGTGGTCTTGTGGTTGAAGGGAAGTTGGGCTATCAAGGAGCAGGGGGTGTTTTCGGTGATGATAAAACTGTTCTGTATGTGGATTGTGGTTCTGGTTGTATTTGTCAAAAATCACAGAACATTACACTAAAAAGGATTCATTGTACTGTATGTAAACTATGCCTTAATGTTTTTTAAAAAGAGTCAGGAGAGAGCTCCCAGGGAAAATCAACTTCAGCTGCAGTCTGAAAGGTGAGCTGGGAATCGAGGAAGTAAAGGAGATAGTGAGAAAGCATTCCAGACAGAGGAAGCAGCAAACGTGAGCCTGACGGTGTCTGGCAAGGACGGAGAACAGTGCAGCAGACACAGAGAGAACTGGGCACTGTGGGGCGGTGAAGCCGGAAGTGCAGGACCTAGGGGATACATCAGATATGTTGTTGACATCCTGAGAGTATTGGGAGCCATTGCAGGTTTTCCTTCTTGGAAAAGTCTTCTGACCTCGGTATGGAGAATAGATGAACAGTGTGCATCATGAGCCACCCAGAAACCACTGCAGGTGTTCAAGCAAAACATGGCGAGTTGGACTAGGGGAGTGTTTGTGGTGGCATTGGAGAGAAGTAGAAAGATGAGCATGTCAGAGGTGGAGTACCAGGATTTGATGGTTCGTGGGCTATGTGAGTGAGAAAGAGGTGTCTAGAAGGATTCTGGTCTGCATAATTGCAGGGGCAGTAGAGGCGTTCGCTGGGACAGCAGGGCTGAGAAAGGACAGAGTCGCTGAGGAGATACTTAATCCATTCATTGGGTACTTACTGAACCCTCGCTATGGCATGCCTTGATCTAATATAGGAATGCAAACAGACTCCAAAAGAAACCAGAATTCTCTGAGTTATCAAGCTTATATTCTATCTGGGAAAGACCAAAACTTCAGCTAAATCAGTAAACTATTTAGTATATCAGATGGCCTAGAACTTGCCTCGTACAGTTTGGATACTCAGCAAGTATCATTGAGAAAATGAGCCGAAGAAGGTGAGCAGAGACAGGCATTGGGTATGGAGTTGCAGTTTTTAATAGCGAGGACAGGGAAGACTTCAGTAAGAAAGTGACATTTGCACACGCACTGGAAAGAAATGAAAGGGTAAGTGATGTCGCCATCAAGAGGACCACCGAAGGTCTCTGCAAGGCTAGAGAAGTGGGAACTGGTGGGTGAGTAGGAGAAAGGTCAGAAAGCGTCCCCCTCCTCACTACCACATTACAGAGAGCCTCTCAGACTTGACGAGTTATTCGTGAAAGTTAAGGTTGGGGAGGCCAGCAGGTGGGGAGGTAGTTAAGGTGCTGGACTTCCACATGGCCAACCATAGTTCAAATCCCAGACCTGGCACCTTGCTTTCTCACTTTCCCTCTCTCTCTCTGATCTAATTAAACAATAATAATAATTATTATTATTAATAAAATTAAATAAAGTAATTCTTTATTTAAAAAAGTTAAGGTGAGGGCATACTGAATATCAGGTAAATTTGGGACATCCAAAATACATAGGTCAATCATCTGCTATGGATCTGGATCTCAAGGAAAAGTTCTCGGCTGGAGATAAAAAAGTAGGGAGTTATTTACACGTGGGTAAAGCCGTGGTTGTGGATGAGGTAGCCTAAGGGGAGAGAGTAAAGAGTGGAGGGTCCTCACAACAGGTTCTGCTCTTAGCTTTGCTGTTAATTGGGGTCCAGGCAAAAGAATGATGGCTGCCCTACTTCTTTTTTCTTTTTTTTGTTTGTTTGTTTTTGTGTGTTTGTGTTTTTTTGAGAGGTTTTTGCTATAGGGCGCGTGTGCTCGCTGGAAAGACAGAGACAGACAGAGAGACAGAAAGCAAGAAATCACCACCCAGGGGGGATGACCACACCGCAATCCCTTCTCTTCTATTCTCCTCTTGGGATCTTGGGCACACATGCACACATGCCCGGCGTGAGTTTAAGCCACTGGGTCTGGGACTCGAACCACGGTCAACTACATGGGAGTCCAGCGACATAACCATTACATTAACTGCTGGTTTCCATGCCCTACTTCTTATATATGCCTGTTGGGTCACATCAGATCATGAGCAGGAGCAAGGGGACTGCAGTGGATCTGTGGAAACAAGAACACCAGACTCCAGGTCGAAGCTCTCTGAGTCTGAATCCCAGCTGACTGACTTTCTGAATTTGGCCAAGTCACATAACCTCTGTGTCTTGGTTTTCTATTTTGCAAGTTAGAAGAGTAATGCCCACATCACAAGCTGTTTTGAGAATTAAAAATCAGCAGCTTATTGGATTAAATCTACAGCTTTATAAATTATAGTTTGGATTGGATTTTTGCATAGAAAAACGCATCATGACTTTCCAGACAACCTAATAGATGTTAACGTGTGGTCAAAGTGTACTGAAGATAAAACCCTGTGAATGATATAACCTAAATGCCTTCCCATATAGGGACTATTTCTCCAAATTGACAATGTATAGAATTATATTATTTTCTTCCCCCAGCTCCACAGGTCTTTTTCTCTTCCTTGTTTCTGTCAATGGCACCCCTGTTCTTCCTGCTCGAAGGCCAGTGATCTTTTGCTTATTTATTTTTTTAGAGATTTTTGCAATAAAGCATGTACACTTACCGGAGAGGCAGAGAGACAGAAAGTGAGAAATCACCCCCTAGGGGCATGGCCATCCCGCAGTCCCTTCTCCTCTGTTCTCCTCTTGGGACATTGGGTATGCCCACCCCCACACCTGGCATGAGTTTAAAGCTGCTGGGTCTGGGATTCGAACTGTGCAAGACCGGTAATAAAGATTCAGATGTTGACTGCCGTGTCTCTACCATCACCAAATGTCAAGAATCCAATACCAAGTCCTGTTACTTCTCCTTCTCCCGCAGTCCTGCCTTGCAGCCCTCCAGACAGGCATAAACTCCAGGGTCAGCTTACATTAGAAGTTTTCATGTAATGAAAGCTGTCCTTTCGTTACATGTCTTTCTTCTTCCAGAACCTCCAGCAAATTTTCTGAGTCTTTGAAACCTCTACTCACCTTCTTGGTGGTTGTTTTGTTTTAGATCTTTGCCATAGGCTAGTGTGCTCAGCAGAGAGAGACAGAGAAAGAGAGATGGAAAGTGAGAAATCATCACTCCTTCCTCCTCCAGGGGAAATGGCCAGGCTGTCATCCGTTCTCATCCATTCTCCTCTCAGGATTGTGGGAGGATGCACATGCACCAGGCATGTTTTTAAAGCCACCGAGTTTGGAACTCGAACTGTGGAGTCAGCCATGTGGGATCCAGCATCTTAACCACTATGCTACTTGTTGCCCGCCTGCCTACTTTTTAAAGTCATTTATTTTCTGGCTCACTCTACAAGTCCAAACTCATTTATTCTAACCTGAACTCTGTTTTCAGCTACCGGGATTTATAAAATCCTTCTCTCACATACATACCTGGTTGACCTCTCCCTTCTCTTCACCCCTCCTTCCCTGCTCATCCATATGAGCCCAACCAAGGCCCGTGTTTTTCTAGAAGTCTTCACTTTCCAGTCATGCTAAGTCTTGCTGACCTCAGTTTCTCTGGTTCCTTTTCCATTAGTGTCCACATGATGCAATCAGCATGTTACGCCAATGTCTTTCCCACAACCATTTGCCTGAATGATTGAGTTTCATAATGCACACATCACTCACACAGATCTATCTCATCTTGGAAAAATATGATCTATTCTAAGGGATCTGGCGTGTTTTGTTTTTTGTTCTTCGTTTTCATTTGCTATAGGGTGTGTGTGCTCACTTGGGGGAGGGCAGGGGAGGGGAGAGAATGAATGAATGAATGAGAAATCTCTTCCCTCCTTAATCCCTCCTTCTCCTTTCTCCTCTCTGAATGGACACACACACACACACACACACACACACACACACACGCACACACGTATCCAGCATGTTTTGCAAGCCGCCAGGCCTGACACTTGAACTGCTCAGTTGGCCATGTGGGGTGGAGCTGCCTTCACCTCTGCGCCACCTGCTGGCCCAATCCGGTGAATTGTACTGCCTTCATTCAGTGTGCAGCCTAGAAAGTGTATTGATTTCACAGTGCTTATACTATCTGAAATGATTGCGTTTACTTGATTTTTATTTTCCCCACATTTAGGTAAGTTTCATGAGAACAGGGTCACCACTGTACCATTAGTGTCTAGTGTAGCTAGTTTGCTCAGTAAGTGTCATATTTATGGACAAGGGGTTTTCTGAGACATCGTATAAGGCAACGTGAGCTCGAGTCTTAGTTAAAAATTAATCATGTGGCCCAACCTGGTAGCAGACTGAATCTCAGTGCCTGAAGGCACACTGCAGATTCGGGTCCCCAGGTACCCTGAAAGTGTTGTGGGTGTGAATGCCAGGATCCTGTAAGGCTGGAAGGCCAGGAAAAAGGGATCACAGCTGGACAAGGCCCTATCGAGGGTGCTTCTCTGTTTCTGTTGGTCTTTCTCTCATGTCTGCACGCATGAATACATACCCTCTGTTATGAAAAAAAGAGGAAAAAATATTAATCATGTGTGGGCTACCAGTGCAAACTTCTCATCTGAGGTGACAATCAGATAAGAAAAAGCCTAAACCACAGTTATGTTCACACTTCTCTGGGCAACAACCATGAGACCAATTACTTCCAGGCCTAGGGCTTAGGAAATCTCTCAGGGAGGGGCCAGCAGGTGATGTGGTGGATAAGATACTGGACTGCCACATGACCGACCATAGTTCAAATCCCAGACCTGGAGGCTTGACAGTCATACCAGGCACCTGTGCATGCATGCCCAGAATCCTGAAAGGAAGGGATGTGGGAAAGCCATCCTCCATCAGGGTGATTTCTCATTTTCCTTCTCTCTGTGTCTCCAGAGCATACTCACCCTATGGCAAAAACTTTAAAAAAAAAAAAAAAAAAAGAAAGAAAGAAAAGAAAAGGAAGGAAGAAAAGAACATCTCTTTGAGGAAAAAATTCAATTTTATTAATTTTATTACAGAGAAAAAAAACTACAGCTTAGAATGGAAAAAATAGTATTTAACTCAGTTATTTTCTACAAGACCTGCAGGCTAGTCATTGCTGTAAATGAGGTCTGCCCTGCTTCTTGTTCCAATACTATATCACTGTATCAGAAGACACACTGATTCTGTTTGGGCTGTCCTGTTCTCTGAGGCAGTGCCAGTTAAAGTGCTGGCCCCCAAACCGTTACTGGATCATGACGAGATAGAGAAGGAGTTTATGCCCGAATGGAAATGAACACACTTCCTTTCTTCATTGAGAAGGTCTTACTCTGAAATACACCAGCCAGAGGAAACAGCATGCCTGATGATGCAGTACATTTAAAGGAGGGCCTTATTTCCTTGCAGACCTGGACAGCCTGTTTGCACACTAACTGTGGTCCTTGGGCCACACTGTGAGAAACACTATGCTAAATATTTTTTATGCTCGTGACTTAACTCCTCTGATAAGCCACAAGCTCATGCCAGTTGTGATGGTTGCTCTGGAGCATGGAGTAGATACTCATTGAGAACTTGAAGGTACATTGGCCTTGGCTGGGGAGCACATGGTGTGCTCGGTACCAGAATTCCAGTTGCCCTCTCCCTCTTCCAGTTAATGATGTGCCTTGCTCTCTCTAAATTGCAGAACAAAATCTTCATCTACCGGGGAAAGGAGTATGAGAGGCGAGAAGACTTCAGCCTGAGGCTGCTGACCCAGTTCCCCAATGCCGAGAAGATGACCAGCACCACACCCCCAGGAGAAGACATCAAATCCTCCCCGAAGCAGTGCATCCTTGCCATGAGGAAAGTGGTCCGGAGGCTTTTTATTGGTGCAGGCCCAGCTAAGCCCAGGGAGAGGGCTACGGGTTCCAAATCCTCCTTTGCAGGCAGAGATGTCCTGTGTCCTCAGACCCCCACATTGAACCCTTCTGACTCAGATTCCCATTCCATGTAAAATCTTTGGACCCTAATATCCTTAGCTGATGGTTATGAAGTCATTGACGTGGAGAGACGATAAGCAAATCTTAAATGGAAGGGTGTCCTCTTGCCTCTTGGGAAGCTTAGTGGAACATACGCCTTCTGTCCTGAGTCCTGGATTCTGTTATGGACTTCAAAACAGCATATTTACATAGGTTACAGAGGGAGGAGGGGAAGAAAGCTCTTTCAAAGAGTTAATTATGAAATCAGAGGAACCCTTACTCCTGAATTGGTTCCAAAGCTTGTCTTCACCACTTACCAGTCACTTGGTCTTGGATCTTTTTTTGAAAGAGAATTATTTATTTAATTTTATTTATTCATTCATTTATTTTAATTTGACCGGGGGTGGAGGGAGATGAGAAAGCTCTCTGTGTCTCCAGAGCATACTCCCCCTATGGCAAAAACTTAAAAAAAAAAAAAAAAAGAAAGAAAGAAAAGAAAAGGAAGGAAGAAAAGAACATCTCTTTGAGGAAAAAATTCAATTTTATTAATTTTATTACAGAGAAAAAAAACTACAGCTTAGAATGGAAAAAATAGTATTTAACTCAGTTATTTTCTACAAGACCTGCAGGCTAGTCATTGCTGTAAATGAGGTCTGCCCTGCTTCTTGTTCCAATACTATATCACTGTATCAGAAGACACACTGATTCTGTTTGGGCTGTCCTGTTCTCTGAGGCAGTGCCAGTTAAAGTGCTGGCCCCCAAACCGTTACTGGATCATGACGAGATAGAGAAGGAGTTTATGCCCGAATGGAAATGAACACACTTCCTTTCTTCATTGAGAAGGTCTTACTCTGAAATACACCAGCCAGAGGAAACAGCATGCCTGATGATGCAGTACATTTAAAGGAGGGCCTTATTTCCTTGCAGACCTGGACAGCCTGTTTGCACACTAACTGTGGTCCTTGGGCCACACTGTGAGAAGCACTATGCTAAATATTTTTTATGCTCGTGACTTAACTCCTCTGATAAGCCACAAGCTCATGCCAGTTGTGATGGTTGCTCTGGAGCATGGAGTAGATACTCATTGAGAACTTGAAGGTACATTGGCCTTGGCTGGGGAGCACATGGTGTGCTCGGTACCAGAATTCCAGTTGCCCTCTCCCTCTTCCAGTTAATGATGTGCCTTGCTCTCTCTAAATTGCAGAATAAAATCTTCATCTACCGGGGAAAGGAGTATGAGAGGCGAGAAGACTTCAGCCTGAGGCTGCTGACCCAGTTCCCCAATGCCGAGAAGATGACCAGCACCACACCCCCAGGAGAAGACATCAAATCCTCCCCGAAGCAGTGCATCCTTGCCATGAGGAAAGTGGTCCGGAGGCTTTTTATTGGTGCAGGCCCAGCTAAGCCCAGGGAGAGGGCTACGGGTTCCAAATCCTCCTTTGCAGGCAGAGATGTCCTGTGTCCTCAGACCCCCACATTGAACCCTTCTGACTCAGATTCCCATTCCATGTAAAATCTTTGGACCCTAATATCCTTAGCTGATGGTTATGAAGTCATTGACGTGGAGAGACGATAAGCAAATCTTAAATGGAAGGGTGTCCTCTTGCCTCTTGGGAAGCTTAGTGGAACATACGCCTTCTGTCCTGAGTCCTGGATTCTGTTATGGACTTCAAAACAGCATATTTACATAGGTTACAGAGGGAGGAGGGGAAGAAAGCTCTTTCAAAGAGTTAATTATGAAATCAGAGGAACCCTTACTCCTGAATTGGTTCCAAAGCTTGTCTTCACCACTTACCAGTCACTTGGTCTTGGATCTTTTTTTGAAAGAGAATTATTTATTTAATTTTATTTATTCATTCATTTATTTTAATTTGACCGGGGGTGGAGGGAGATGAGAAAGCAAGCCACCAGGTCTGGGACTCAAACCCTGGTCAGCCATGTGGGAGTGTCCAGCACCTTGACCACCACACCTGCTGGCCCCGTGATCTTGGACCTTAACCTCTCATAGTCAGATTCTGTATCTTTAAAAGGACAGTAATACCTATATTATAGAGTTCTTACATATATATATTCGAGAACATACTCAAAACACCCATATCGTGCCCAGCTGTGGCACTTGATAAACAGGTGATATCCAAAGGTAAAACAATTCCTGTTGCCTAGACTCTGGAATCTCACTGGAGGGATGCTTGTTCAAAAGAGCTTATTTGAAACCCCTCCTAAGCACCTAGTGGTGGATGCCTCTTTCCCGGTAGCAAGAGTGTTTGCCAGGTATCTGACCAAGAAGATCGTCCCAGGCTTCATCACTTCATAAGGCATGTCGGAGATATGTAAGGGAACCCTGTTTTCAATAGTCCTGGTATTTGGGTAAAGGAGTGTTTGATATTGGCCGTGCCTGGCCATGAAGCAGGAAGAATGGGGGACCTTGCTCCTTCCCACCTTCACACTCAGCCCATTTCCTTTCCTTAATGGGTTTCTCAGACATGCAGTGCTTCACCGTAAAGCCAGTGATGAGTCTGCCTCCCAGCTACAAAGATAAGCCAGTTCCAGAGCAGATCTTAAAGTAAGTGGTTCCTTATTATTTTACTATGTTTTTTTAAATTTGCTGTAGGGCATGTGAGCTCACCAGAGAGAAAGAGAGAGAGAAAGCACCCACAGGGAGGACAGCCACTCTAGTCCCGTCTCCATTCTCCTCTCAGGATTTGGGGCATGCATTCATGCACATGTGCCCAGTATGTTTCTCTAGGTGCTGGGCCCAGAACCTTACAGTCAGCCAAGTAGAATCCAGCTGTCCTAATTGCCACACACCACTGACTGCCTGTGAGAGTGTTTTGTTGTTGTTGTTTAGTTCTTTGTTTTTGTTTTGTTTTGTTTTTAAGTTTTCTATAGGGAGCATGTATTTGCCTGAGAGATGAATAGAGAGAAGGAAAGTGAGAAATCACCCCTCTGGAGGGATGGTCATGCCACAGTCCCTTCTCCTCCACTTTCCTCTCAGGATTTTGGGCACACATAAAAATGCACTCAGCATGTTTCTTAAGCCGCCAGGTCTGGGACTCAAACCATGTTGTCAGCCATATGGGATCTAGTCACTTTACTATCATGCCACCTAGTGAGTCCAGGTGGTTCCTTTTTTGACAAAACAAAATATAAAAACATTTGTCTCACACTATATTTAGAGTACATAAGAATCAATGGCATTGGGCTGCCCCATAATAGAGTAGTTAAGAGAGTCGCATACCACATGACTGACTGTGGTTTGAATCCTGGCCCCAGTGGCTTGGAAAAAAAAGAGAGAGAGAGAGAAAATATGCTGGTCATGTGTGCGTGTGTGTGTGTACCCAAAATCACAACAGGATGGAGACATGGAGAAGGGATTGTGGGTTGATTGCCCCGTTGAGGAGCAGGGGGATGTGCTTTCTCTCTCTCTCTCTCTCTCTCTCTCTCACTCTCTCTCTCTCTCTGATAAACACATATACTCTTATAATTAAAGTATATATGTGTGGGGACCAGCAGTTAGCATAATGGCTATGTTGCCGGACTCCCATGTAGTCGACTGTGGTTCGCGTCCCGGACCCGGTGGCTTAAAACACACTGGGTGCGTGTGCGTGTATGCCCAAGATCCCAAGAGGAGAATGGAGTGGAGGAGAAGGGATTGTGGCGTGGCCATCCCCCCGGGGGTGATTTCTCGCTTTCTGTCTCTATGTCTGTCTCTGGCAAGCACATGCGCCCTATAGCAAAAACCTCTCCAAAAAAAAAATAAATATATATATGTGTGTGTGTGTGTATATGCACAAAAAGCTTTACATTTATTATGCCTTGAAAAACCTACTATATTTTCTATGTTGAGCGTAACATAAGAACTTGTTCATTCAAAGGGATGTGAGTTTTGGGGGGAATGTTTGTATTTGTAAGCCAGATGAAAATCTGCAATTACCTTCCTAGGTTTTGGTCCCTCGTCTCTCATTTCCATTTAGAAGCACCAGAGCGTAGGGCTAATACCTCATGATGGAGAGCCTGACTCCTCCTCTTGAGAAGCTGAAACACTAGTGGACTGATACAACTGTTGTAAAACTGTACGAGTGAAATCATCAGTATAGATGTTAAACTTCACATCATATTCCAGAAATATGTATAGATTTTTTAACGAATTATTTATTTTTAATTTTATTTACTTTTTTTTAAAAATTTTAACCAGAGAGAGAGAAATTGAGAAAGCAAGCCAATAGGTCTGAGACTCTAACTGTGGTCAGCCATGTGGGAGTGTCCAGTGCCTTAATCACTATGTCACCTGCTAGTCCCTGTATAGTTATTTTTTAATTAAAATCAAAGTAAATCTTTAAAAAGTCAACAAATAAATAAAATTATGAGCTATGAAAAATTCATAAATAAAAATATAAGATGTGCCCGGCCATGGTGGTACATGCTGAGAAGCTATGTGCTCTGTAGACTGAGACCACACGGGAGGCCTGGGTTGAGTTCAGGTCTAACCTAAAGGCCAGGCCTGAGAGTATACACCTGTAATCCAACATCTTGTGGAGACTGAGACAGGAGGATTTTGAGCTCAAAGCTAGCCTGGGGAGACATAGTGAGAACCTGCTTCAAAAAGATATGGACAGACACCAGCAGATGGCATAGCGGTTATGTCTCTGGACTTCCATATTGCCAACCATGGTTCATATCTTGGACCCAGTGGCTTCATACTCAGGCTGGACACATGTGCATGCATGCCCAAGATCCCGGGAAGAGAATGAAGAAGGAGGATTATGGCGTAGTCATCCCCCCGACCCCCAGGGGTGATTTCTCACTTACTGTCTCTGGCAAGCACATGCATCCTATAGCAAAAATCTCTCCAAACAAAACAAAACAACAAAACAAAAGATGTGGACGTAATGACTCATGCTTGTACTCCCAGCTGTAAAGGTGTAAAGAGGACTGTGGGGCCAGGAGGTGGCATAATGATTCCAGCCCTGATTCCCACGTGACCAGTCACAGTTCAAATCCCTGACCCAGCAGTTTGAAAATCACACCGGGCACATGGGCATGCATGTCCAATAATCTCAGGAGGAGAATGGAAGAGAAAGGATTGAGGCATGGCCATCCTCTATGGCGGATAGTTTCTCACTTTCCCTCTCTCTGTCTCTCTTTCTTTCTGGCGTGTATACATACCCTATGGCAAAAGCCTTAAAAAAATAAAAATAGGAGAACTGCAAAATTAAGGCTTGATATTTTAAAAAAGGGGAGTAATATGTGAAATAAAATTAAACTGTGCATTGCCTCAAGCATTCAGTGTGGAGACTGTTGTGAGTTCACTAGGGGGTGAAACCCCTACTGTGTCAGACATGTCGCTGGTTTTGTGGAAGTCAGATCAAGGAGTTCTTATGCTCAGAGAGAAAATACAACGTTGATGCCGAGTCTTTCCCCAGCTACTACCGAGCCAACGAAGTGCAGCAGTTCAGATATTCCCGGCCATTCCGGAAAGGAGAAAAGGATCCAGACAATGAATTTGCTGTGAGTCCACCCTTTTGCCCTCTAAAACAAAGTAAAATTGACATCTAATATGGAGCCTTTCCACCTAACCAGTGCACGCAGCAGACATAATGGCACCCCTGAGAACTGAAGCTTCCCTTTCTAATTTTATCCAGACAGTAGGTCCCCAACCTTTTTGGCACCAGGGACCAGCTTCATGGAAGACAATTTTTCCATGGACTGGGTGTGGGAGGTGGTTTCAGGATGATTGAAGCACATTACATTTATTGATTGTATACCTTATTATTACATTGTAATATGTAATAAAACAATTCTACAGTCCACCATAATGCAGGATCAGTGGGAGCCCTGAGCTTGTTTTCCTGCAACTAGATGGTCCTATCTGAGAGTAATGGGAGACAGTGACACCCACTCTGTATTGCTAATGTCCAGTCTACTCCATAATTTTGTTCCAATTGCTATCACTGCAGAAAACCCTGCTTCATAAAGATAAGGTTTTGACATGAGTCTGCAAACAATCAATTTATTATGGTCTCTGTGCAGTCAAACCTCTCTGCTAATGTTAACCAGTATTTGTAGCCATTCCCCAGTGCTAGCATCACTGCCTCAGCTCCACCCCGGATCGTCAGACATTAGATTCTTATAAGGAGCTCACAACCTAGACCCCTTACATGGGCAGTTCACAGTAGGGTTTGTGCTAGGGTTTGATTCTATGAGAATCGGATGCCACTGCTGATCTGACAGGAGGCAGGGCCCAGGCAATAAGGCAAGCGGGGCGGGGAGAGGGTGTAACTGTAAATACAGATGAAGTTTTTCTCGCTCTCCTGCCACTCACTTCTTGCTGTGTGGCCCCCATCTTCACAAGTCCCAAGGCGCTGGGACCCCATTCTAGACAGTAGACTGTTAGTTCCATGGAAAACTCTAAGCTGGGCTGTGCCTTAGCTCTGCTGCTAGCATGACTTTGGCCAACTCATACCTCTCTGGACCTCAAGTGTCTCCCTATAAAAGGAGAAGACTCAAGTCGATGATCCCTTTCAACTTTAAACATCCAGAATCTTTATCAAAAAATATGGGCCTATTCACTAGGAAGCATTTGAAAATACCATCTCTCTGGGCTAAGCCAGGAAGTCTTGCCATCTTGCCTGGAAACTGATGGCCATTGTGTATTTTCCTTCTTGCCACCAGACTATGTGGATTGAACGGACCACGTACACGACCGCATATACCTTTCCTGGGATTCTCAAGTGGTTTGAAGTCAAACAGATTTCCACAGTGAGTCATTTGAAATTGGAACCCTAAAATAAAACTTTCCGCATCTGAATATAATAACAGCCTTTGTGAAATTCCCTCTGCTATTTGCACCAACTTGGCCAGTCTCCTCTGGCCAATTTTGTTTTTCAAACGAGAACTAAAAGGCATGTTTGTATGATAGAGCTCCTTTGTAACATTGATGTTACAACACAACCCTAAAGGTTACCCATAGTGAATGACTCTTTTATGACCAGAAGAGTGTTGTGTCCTCTGTGGCCCCTCCTGCCAGGGCCCAGAAACATTTTTGGAATGCCTTTTAAGAGTTTGCTGTCAATCACAACTTGTCTCCCAAAGCCTTTTCTCTCCTTTTATTTCTCAACTAATCACATCACCAGTCCCCCTAGGCTCCTCCCCTCTACATCTTTCCCTGAAGCCGCCTTTCTTACTGTTTTAATATTTTACAGCCTGTTTTATTCCCAGCCTTCCTACCACTAACCTGTGTCTTATCCCTCATTCATCTCTGGTTGATGCCACTGAAAAAGGCCTCCTGATCAGCCTCCCCGCCTTTGCTTTCTTAGATCCATTTTCCTCACTGCCTTGGAGTGTGAGCTCCATGGAGTGCCCCTGACCCTTCCCTGGTTCCCCAAGCCCATTAGCATACACATGGAAGGCATTCGTGGACTGCACACACTCGGCCCTTCCTACGCATTAGCAATCTACTGGAACTAGACTGCCCTTTCCACAGTATTTCAGTCCTCATGCGACTGGGTCATTTTCTCTGCCTAAAACATCTTCTCACCACTTCTGAACCAACATGATTCCCACCAAGATTCAGTTTAGGTACTACCCTGTCCATGAAGCCATCTCTGGAACACCCACTGGGTTATGACAGTGTGTGCCCTGTTGTACCCTGGGCATATTTCTAGCCCACTGTGCTTATGCGTCTTGAGACCCCCACTAAATCCTTAGGTTCCCCCAGCTATGAATTATAGCAAGTGACTGTTAGAACTATGGTACCTAACACGGCACTTAGCATAAAACAGGAAATATTTCTTGAACACATCTGAACTCTAGTTTGATGCATTTCCATATCACTAGTGCTAACTCATTCTTCTTCAAGTATGAATATTTTTGGACAGAGACTTTTGTAATCAAGCCTGGGATTGCAAGTCAGACAGGCTGATAATGAGCAAAATGAAGAAGGAAATGACTTTTCTTGACATCCGATTTTAAAGACATTTCCATAGAAAGAGCTCTCTTCAAATCTATATTATGTCTTATCTCTTTTCTATCCAAAATGCTATCTTAATATTCTAATGCATCCTATTATTTTTTACTTCTGTTAACCACGGAGTCTGTAATAAGCTTGCTAAGGTCTGATTGTATGGCTTCCGAAGTCACTTATTTTTTCTCATGGAGGAAAGGTTTTGCCAGTGGACATATTTGGTGGTGCCTAAGTGTGTCAGATTCAATACTCTGTTATCTTTTTGTCATTTATCTCAAAAATCTCCAAGGAAACTTTGCCTGGAGGGGGAAAAACACATCCTGTGCTTCAGAGTTTGCTTCTTAGATTTTCTATAGACATTTTGCCCTAAGGAATCATCATTAACATAACTCCGATTTTTAAGTCATCATTCTACTTTCTAAGGAAATTTTAAATAGCTTAATTTGCATCTTACCATCACCATTTCAAAAAAGTGACACCTTGATTATCATAAACTCGACATGCAAAACCTCACTCTTGTATAGCTGCGGGTATTTAAACCTCTTGAGGGTTGTAGTTAAGCTTCTTTCCATCTTGGCAGTGGGGCTCATATAGTGTCCTTGTCCCATGTCACTCAGGAAGAAATCAGCCCTTTGGAAAATGCCATAGAAACTATGGAATTGACCAATGAGAGGATCAGCAACTGTGTTCAGCAGCATGCCTGGGACCGGTCCCTGTCGGTGCACCCGCTCTCCATGCTGCTCAACGGCATTGTGGACCCAGCTGTCATGGGGGGCTACTCCAACTACGAAAAGGTGGGCTGGATTCCAGAACCCCACAGGAGGGGCAGTGTGCCTGTGTGACCTCTGTGCCTTTATGCAACTGGTGAATTCATTTTCTAATACTTCTCTGAGAGACTCTCTCTCTCTCTCTCTTATGTGAATGACAGACTGTCACTAACCTTGCACCTCCTAGAGGCCGTCAGCAAGGCTGCCTGGAAAGCATTCCACTGGCCAGGAAGCATCCCTGAAATCACCCAGCATACCACTGGCTGATTCACCTGTTATTCTCTCTCCCACTCCCTCTCTCTCCTGGTGGGTAGAAGGTTAACAGGTGCGTCCCAGAACCCAGGTCGCTCTGGACGTGAAATGGCATTTTGGGGAAGGTAGAGCTACTCGTTATTTAGAATTAGACCTGGAGAAAACCAGAAGATGGCATAATATTTACATTGCTGGGCTCCTACATAGTGATCCGCAGTTCAGGTCCTTGACCCAGTGGTTTAAAACTCATGATGGCTGTGTATGTGTGCGTGTCCAAATCCTGAGAGGAGAGGAGAGGAAAAGGGATTGTGGCAAGGCTATACCCCTGAGGAGGGCGATTTCTTGCTTTCTGTTTCCCCTGTGAGCACACGTGGAAAATAAAAGAATTAGGCATGGAGGTTAAGGCAGTAGATCTCACATAGCCAGCTGCACGGTTCAAATCCTGAACTTGGTGGCTTGAAAATTACACTGGGCGTGTGTGCGTGCATGATAAAAATCCTGAGTGTGGAGAAGGGATTGCAGCCTGGCCACCCCTCTGGGGTGTGATTTCTCACTCCCATCCCATCTCCCATCTCTATCTTGGGTGAGTGCATACACCCCATAGCAAAAAAAAAAAAAAAAAAAAAAAAAAAGCTCCTGGGAACTTCCACCCTGACTTTGTGTTGTTCCATAGACTATGGACTGATGATGGTGCTGATTTTATAATTAAATTAGTTCAGCTAAATATTAGATCTGTTATTCTGGGGGGGTGAAGGCATGAAAAGGGGTACTTACATTTTGATCTATTCTGGAGCATTTGGATGTTGTACTATGTAAATAGAGGTACTGTGTTTAGTACAAGGAGTCTTAGAGGGCTCATGGAAAATTCATATTATGAAACAAACTATGAATGGGTTTCAAAATGTTTTACAGGAAAATAAACTCATTTTAATCCCATTTTCCATGAACTTTTTGAAGTCCACATGTATATATTAAATACCATTAATAGAGACCAAGTTTTTAATTCTTATGGTGTGTGTGTGTGTGTGTGTGTGTATTAAGAGATTTTTTGCTATAAGGTATGTGTACTCGCCAGAAAGGGAGACAGAAAGCGAGGAATCACACCCCGGGGGTGGGGGATGGCCATGCCGCAATCCCTTCTCCAATCTCCTCTTGGGATTTTGGGCAGTATGCACACACACCTGGCGTGAGTTTTAAGTTGCTGGGTCTGGGACTCAAACCATATTCGACTATGTGGGAGTCCAGCAATGTAATCATTACACCATCTGCTGGCCCCTGTTATGGTATATTTTTAGTGGCTAAATATTGGGTTGTCAGAAAAGTCTTCTCTATGTAAAATGTGTCATGACTTTTCTGATGACCCAATAATTTTGGTGTCCTCTTCCTGAATATAAATAAGTATTTGGCCAGGACATCCCTGCAAGTAGGCTGGAGAGTGGGAGGGAAGAGGAGCTGGAAGGGGAGGGCAGGTGACGGGAAGTAGACTGACGTTCTCATTTCTGTGTGGAATGTCCTGAGGAGAGCAAGGGCTTTTGCAGTTGGTCACTTCTCAGACCCACGTCTAGCTTTTATCTTGGGCAACATACGTCACCTCTGGGAGCACTGGGATCTATAAAGGAAGGAACGTACCTCACTCACTGGACTGATTAAGGATGAAGGGAGATACCCATGTGAAAGGAACAGTACAGTGCTTGGCACAGCTGAGGCCCCATCATAACCTTCCACATGCAAATACGCAGTTCTGTGAGCTGTCATTTGCATGTGGCTAAAAGGTCACCATGTTTGCTCAGATTGGCCACTCTCCACATTACTCCACTCAGCAGGTGGGAAGACAGAAATTGTAGTTTACTCACGTTAGGTTTCACTATTTCCAGTGTTACCGTGGAAGCTGATGTGAAAACAGGATCCTAAATACAATACTTTCTAAATACTGTAGTGATTTCAGCGGGTATTGTTTTTGTATAAGTTACCTGGTATTCATTTTCACGTATTTGTCCAAATTAAACTTTACCGAATGCACCCACACTCAGATTCAGAGATGCCAATATCTGTGAATAATATATAGTTTTATATGAAGTTTTCCAATGTGAGTTTTCTAATTAAAAAAAAAATTAAGAAAATAAGAAGAGATTTCAAGAATTTGGGCTTGGTATACTAATTCATACTTTTAATTAATACATGTGACTTTGTACATTTCTTTTTTTTGTTTGTTTTTTAAGAGTTTTTACCTTAGGGACTGTGTGCTCATGGGGAGTATGTGTGTGGTGATGAGAATGTACCTTCACTAGGAATTGCCTGATTCCAGAATGACCGCAGAACAGCATGTGTGTGTGTGTTTTTAACTGTCGATTTTGAGAGAAGGACTGAACATCCCTGTTTTATCAGATGGGAGACATATTCACCCTTTCTAAAGGTTTCCTTCCTTCTTTTTAGGATCAAATGCACACAGAGAAATGTGTTCTAATTAATCGTTGCATGTGCTCTGCTTTTAGGCTTTTTTTACCGAAAAGTACTTGCAGGAGCATCCTGAAGACCAGGAAAAGGTTGAGCTGCTCAAGCGACTAATAGCATTACAGGTATGTGGCAAGGAAGTGTATCCCTGGTCATGCCACTATACTCCAGAGGTGCCACACTGTATTATACTGACAGTCTTCAGCGCTCAAGTCTGCAAAGCCACTTCTAGGGCTGCTTTTCTTTTCTTTTCTTTTTTTAAACCCTATAGAACCACAACCTATTTGTGTGTTTGGTAAAGCAACTTAGGAATGGCATTTAATTAAATCATACAGTGTTGACAACGGCCTTATTTTTTTAAAAAAAAAATAAGATTTTGTCATAGGGCACGTGTGCTCATTAGGGGGAGACTGCCACACCACAATCTCTTCTCCTCTATTCTCTTGGGATTTGGGGCACTCAGGCACACATGCCTGGTGTGATTTTCAAGCTGCCAGGTCCAGTACTCAAACGGCACTCAGCCATGTGGGAGTCCAGTGCCTCAACCACCACACCACCTGCTGGCCCTGACAAGGGTCTTCTAGAGATAATATTACATCCATAAACTGGGTATCTGGCCCTGTAACTCAGTGGCTAAGCCCATGCATAGGGAGCCAGAGCCCATAAGGCTGAATGCACTTTGAATCTTGGTCCTGGTGGCTTGAAAAACATGCCAGGCCTATGTGCATGCATGCCCAACATCCTGACAGGATAGAAGACTGGAGGAAAAGGGATCACGGTATGACCACCCGCATTGGGGAGTGGTACTTTCTCTCTCTACCTCTCCTCTGGCCAATATACATCACTTATAGCAATTAAAAAACAAACAAAAAACCTGAAGAAGTCCATATGTTGGCTGCCTGGTCTGTGTTTCTAGCTGAGGCGTTGGCCCTCATTTTTTTTCTGACTATATCAGCGGACATTGGTAGAAAGTGCAACCATCAGATTCAGTCTACACCTTAAACCTGTCAGCTGCTCATCCATGGAGAAGCCCCAGGCCTGAGCCTTGACCAGCAGCCCTTCCCAGGCTAGAGCCTCCTGTTTCCTTGGGGTGTGTATGTCTCTGTGTTGGGCACCCCATTCAGAAACTCTACACTAAGAGGGGTATTCGCCTTTGATAGTACCGTATTGAAGGGTTTACCTGTCCATCCCTACCTTTTCCCTTCCCCAGCCTCCAAAATGGAAGGACCCCTTTCCCTTAACCACATTTCATTCCTTGTATGCCCTTTTTTCCAGATGCCTCTGCTGACTGAAGGGATCCGCATCCATGGGGAGAAGCTGACGGAGCAGCTCAAGCCGCTGCATGACCGCTTGTCTTCCTGCTTCCGGGAGCTGAAGGAGAAAGTAGAAAAGCTCTATGGGGTTATCACACTGGTAAGCTTTGTCTAGCAGCCTTTAGGCTTCTTCTAGAATCTTATGACATTGATTAGTTTTCAGATGCCAAATACTGGGGGATGCTGGGAGAGAACAGGCTGTGCAGTTGATGACCTTGAGTGAGAGAGGTTCTCAAATTCCAGCACTTATCAGAACCACCCAGAGGGTTTGTGAAAATACAGACTGCTGGGCTATATCCCCAGGGTTTCTGATTCCATGGGTTAGGGGCACCCACATATTAACATTTCAAAGTTCAGGTCCTGGTGCTCAAGGTAGAGGTCAGGGAGCGTCACTTTGGGAACTTTTCTTCTAGAAACTGAGGTTTTCCTCATCATATATGTTGGCTATTCCTGTCCTGTCTAAACTATAATTCTTATAGTTTTTTTTTAACCTTTATTATCTATTTTCTCACAACTATTTAATTTTATTCGTTATTATTATTATTATTATTATTTCTTTTCATGCTCATCAGAAAGAGACAGAAGGAGAGAAGAAGGAAAGTTAAGATAGCAAGCTACCAGGTCTGGGACTCGAACCACGCTTGTCCATATTGGAGTCCAGCACCTTAACCACTATGCCATCTGCTGGCTCCTTAATCTTTATTTTCTATTTTAATAAAAAGTTTGCAGCCTTTCTATATCTGAAAGGAAGAAAGAAGGGCCAGCAGACGGTGTAGTGGCTGTGTCTCTGGACTCTCACATGGCTGACTGCAGTTCAAGTCCCGGACCTAGGGGGTTGAAAGTCATGCCAGACACATGTGCATGTGAGCCCAAAGTCCCAAGAGGAGAATAGAGAAGGGATTGGGGTGTGGCCATCCCCCTGGGGGGTGATTTCTCACTTTCCCTCTTCTTGTCTCTGGATATCTCTCTCTCTCTCTCTCTGGTGAGCACACGCACCCTGTGACAAAAACTCTTAAAAAAATAAATTAATTTAAAAATAAAGGAATAAATAATGGTGAATTACAATTTACAGCACATGTACCCGTATCATGGTGGGGTTTTTTTTTTGACAGTTTTAACATATCTTTTCCAGCTACAATTTTCCTTTTTTCCTCCTGAGAAGTTGGGTAGAGGGGTGCATGTACTAACCCCTTCTCTCCAACAGTTGATTCTATGACTGATTCTAGCTTCATTTATCTGTTCCTTTTTTTTTTTTTTTTGTTGTACTTGAATTCACCTAATCCTCTTAAATGGTCTTATTCTAAATCCTCTGAATTTTTTTTTCTTAATCAAAGCTCAGAATTTCTTTTTATATTCTCCCATTTATCCACCTTTACTACTTTTTTTTTTTTTTTGAGGTTTTTGTCGTAGGGCACATGTGCTTGCCAGAAAGAGACAGTGAGAGGGAAAGTGAGAAATCACCCCCTCATAGGGGATAGCCACACTGCAGTTCCTTCTCTCCATACTTCTCTTGGGATTTTGGGCACTCACACATGCACGCCTGGCCTGATTTTTCAAGCCACCAGATTTGGGACTTGAACCACTGCCAGTCATGTGGCATTTCAGAGCCTTAACCACCATACCTAACCTGTCAGACCCTGTCCAGAATACTTTTTAACCACCTCTTTTTGTCATGAAAGTGTTCAGTGCTGCGTTGTCCTCTGAATTTGCCTCCTAACCTGCTGCTAGTTAGGAATTTTCCTCTGGAACATTTATCTTTAGCAAACAAGTTCCTAGACAACCACAACTGTGCCTTGAACTTAATGAGTTTAGTCATTATTAGAACCAGGTCAGTATTAGCAAGTAAGTCGAATATAGTGGCACACGGGGTAACCTACTGGTGACAGTTCTTGTGAAAGTACACCAGGGTTGCTGTACTTCCTAATCAGATTCACCTGATTCAACTTAAGCTCTACAGCGTCAATCTAAAAATTTTCTCTTAAGCTAACATTTGTGTTTAAAATTTTCTGGTGGAAAATTATGATGGCGTTTTCTCTAGTTGTACAGACAAGTTATATCTATAACTAGAAAGGTTGTTTTTCAAAATACTTAACAACTGCAGCAGCACAGGCAGCAACCAGTCAGAAAAGGGTGCCAGTCAAATCGAAAGGGCTCTAGTTAGCGACAGGCAGGTTCACACAGGCCGCACCCCAGGCCAGCTAACCAGGAGGGGTCATGTGATTTCAGCCAGCCAACCTGACTGAGAGGAAGCAAAGCCGCACGGGGTCTATCGTGCTCCCATACATCATGTCTTCTACTTTGCGAAGGCTGTCCATTACCTCGGTGGCTTCCTCTGTGGTTTCCACTTCTTCAAACTCATCTGATAATGCTCCTTCCAGACCAGGATCTGATGGGTAAGGTTTTGATTTCTAATCTCCAGGAGGGAAGAGGTAATACCTTATTCATGTTTGCCTGTGGTCACCAAAGTGAGACTTGGTCAACTTAGATGTATGACCCCTGAGAAAAATAATTCACAATGCATGGGTTATTAGCCTTTGGGCCATTCTCATGGTGCTCCTCATGAGGGAGGTTTTTGTTAACATAATGATAATAGTTTCTTTATAAAATCACCTGTAGTCCCACCACCCTGTTACATACTGTTATCTTATAGTCATTGCCTAATATTTTTTTTAACATTTCCATTATTTCGTAATAGCACATGCATACGAGAGAGAGAGAGAGAAAGAGAGAGAGAGAAAGAAAGATCCTCAACAAGGTCTTGTCCCACCACAATCCCCTTGCCCCAGGCCTCTAGCTCCTCAAGATTCTGAACTTCCACAAAAGCATCCAACACGTTTTCAGGCCAACTCAGGGATTCAAGTCCACAGCCAGCCATATGGTTTCCAGCCCGCAGAGAGGGCACTTTCATTACTGCTGTGCCACAGTGACAGGGCCCATCATTTCCATTCTGAAAAATTATGTTTAACCTTAACTGTATTCTATGACTAGATAATAAAATCGTAATATGAAGTTCTAAAGGCACAAATGGATATATCATGAAAAATCTCCCTCAATCTCTAACTCATAATAACCTGCACTGTCACCCGGAGGCAACTGATACTAACATTCAGGGTCCTGGTACCCCTCCAGTAGTTCTTTACAGGTACACAGCAAGATTAAATAAATGATCTTCTCCACTTTTTTTTTTTTTTTTTTACGTGAATGGTAGCATTCTCTTTACTCTGCTTAAGTAATTTAAAATTATTCCATTTCAGAACATAAAGAGCCTCCTATTTTCTTTCAGCCGTCGACATCACACCGTATATCTGTATTATACTACAGTCCATGAGCGTGTAGCAACAGACATTTAGTTGTTTGTCTTTCGCTATCACAGCAGTGTGGCGATGAATAAGCTCAAGCATAAATTAGTTTGCATGTATACTACAAGTACATGAGAAAAATTCCCAAGAGGAATTGCCCTGTCAGAGACACATATTTGCAGGCCAGCAGGTAGAATGGTGATTAAGGTGCTGGATCTCACATGGCTGGATCTCATCTGCTGTTCAAGTCCCAGACCCAGCAGCCTAAGAAACATGTTGGGTGCATGTGCATGTGTGCCCAGACTCCTGAGAGGAGACTGAAGGAGAAGGGACTACAGCATATCTATTGCTCTCTGTGTCTCTCTCATGGCAAAAACTAAAAAAAAAAAAAAGAGAGAGAGAAGGAGACATATTGTCAATTTTTAAAATTATCCTTAACTCAGCTTCCGTAGAGATTATTACCAATTTACATGCCAGCAAAATACAGAAGGGTCTAGTTACCCACGCTCTTGCTACTAAACTGTATTTTTATCATCATCCTAATTTTCATAGTCCAATAGGTAGAAAATGTTTTCTTATGTAGGTTGTTTTGTTTCAATCCTCTTGATTCATGTGAAAGTGAACATCTTTTCATTTCTTTGAGCTGTTTATTTCTTTTGTTCTCTGTGAATGATGGTGAGATACATCGCATACGTTGGATTGTTGGCCCTTTGTGATACGAATTTAAATATTTTCCCCTAGTTTTTTCTTTGGGCTTTGATGTTTCTTCTGATTTTTTAATTGAATTGCTCATTTTTTTAATGTCAAATAGATCAGTTTTTAAGTGAATTCTCAGTCAAATAAATCAATATTTTTATGACTCTTTATGACTTGTTTTATGTCACAATTAAAGGCCCTCTTTAAGATGATGACAAAAAAGTACTGATATATTTTCTTTGGCTTTTACGATTTCACTATTTATAATTAAACTCGTAATGCTTTGGGATTTATTCTAATACAGCGGATGTGGTGTGGAGCCAAAGTTTTATTTTCCCAAATGACTACCCAGGTCCCCCTATAACATTTAGTGAACAAACCATCTTTTCTTTTGCTATTTGAAATGACAGTCTTATCACAGATTAAATTTCTGTATGTTCTTTAGTCTATTCATGGACTTTACCCCCATTTCCTTGACCTCCCAAGTCTACTCATGTACCAAAATATGCAGTTTAATTACCATAGATTTAAGATGCTTTAAATCTCAAATGTCCCTTTTCAGAATTTATCCAGCTAGTTTTGCTCATTGCTCATTTGTAGATTGTTAGGAATCCTATTGCTATTTTTATGAGAAGTATGTGAAATTTAGGCACTACCTTTAGGACAGGTGATGGCTTTTATTTTATTATTTTTTTTAGAGGTTTTTGCTGTAGGGAGTGTGCACTTGCCAGAAAGAGAGAAACAAAGAGACAGAAAGTGAGAAATCACCCCCTAAGGGGGATGGCCACGCTGCAGTCCCTTCTCCTCCATTTTTCTCTTGGGATCTTGGGCACGCACACACACATGTGCCTAGCGTGAGTTTAAGCCACCGAGTATGGGACTCAATTTGCAGTTGATTACATGGGAGTCCAGAGACATAGCCATTATACCGACTGCTGGTCCCAACTGATGGCTTTTTGAAGTTTAGTCTTCTTGCAAAAAACTGAATTGCCTTTTCATCTGTTCTAATTTGAAATATTTGAAAAGAGCTGATTTATACTTGTATTCTTTCTGCCTAAAGTTACTATTTTAAAACAACATTTTACTAGTTACAAAAATAATATCTGTCCATGTAGACATTTCTTAGAGTTCTAGAAAGTTTGAAAACAGAAAAAGCTTGGGCTAGCTCTGTAGCCTAGTGGTTAAAGGAACTAGTTCCCACTTGGTAGACTGAGCAGGTATATGTGCTTACACACTCAAGATCCCAAAAGAATGGAGAAGTAGAGAAGGAATTGTGGCATGACCACATCCCATTGAAAGGGGAGTGGGGCCTTCTCTATGCCATTATCCCAGGTAAGGCAGGTTATTTTTCCTACTCAGATTTCCCCTGTGGGTGAGAAGTCATTGACAATGTTTGCTGACATTTATTTGGGATTTTTTTTTAAGAGATAGTTTTGCTAAAGAGTGCATGCGCTCACCAGAAGACAGAGAGACATAAAGTGAGAAATCACCTCCCAGGGGAGATGGCCATGCCGCAGTCCCTTCTCCTTCATTCTCCTCTCAGGATTTTGTACGCATGCACCTGGCATGAGCTTGAAGCCACCAGGTCTAGGACCCAAACCATGGTTGACTACATTGGAGTTAAGCGACATAACCTATTTGGGATGTTTTAAGCATCCTGAAAGAAGCACCCTCACTTCCTCTTTTTCTCTCTCCTCATCTCCTTCAGCCCACTCTACCATGTGAGAGTAATACATACATTATGCTATAGAACTAGGACATTGTCTTCCATAACCATGTACTATAGCATGGCTATAAATTCAGGAAACAAATCATTGATACAGTGCTTTAGGCTATAACCCATATTCCAGTTTTCTTTTACAACAGTGGCTTATACAACAATTTATAGCACTGGATCCACTCAGGATATTAATTTAGCCACATTTCTTTAATATTTTTAAATCTGGAATCGTTTCCTTAGTCTTTCTTTGCTTTTCATAATGACATTTGTGGTGACTTGGAGCCATGTACTTGATAGAAGCTCTCTCACTTTGAGGATTCTTCATCTGAGGATACACGTTACACATTTTCGTGTATCGTTGTGTCCTTCATTGTCATGTCCAGGAGCAAATTATGTCCATTTGTCCCTTATTGGTGGTGTGAGTTAATCACTCATTTAAGGTTTTGGCCATGGTTTTCTTCCTACAGTTCCTGTTTTTTTCTTTAGTAATTAATAAGTACTTCTTCTTAATAATTATTAGTAATAATTATTACTATTAATAAGTAGCTATTAATAAGTAAACAATAAGTAACTAATAACTTTATTGGGGGTTACTTTGAGATCGTCATTTTTCCACTGCTTTTTCTCCCTATGTATAGCAGATAATCATGTTTTTTTCTTTTCCTATTTGGGGTTCTGTCTTTATTGTTTTATTTTATTTTATTTTCAACATAGAACTGTATGCTTTTCTGTCAAACATTTCTTCCTCTCGCACCTCACACCCACCATCCATCATTCACTTTCTACCATCCTCACCCCCTCTTCAAGTCTCTGCATCCACACCCATCCTCTCAATAATCAAGGTTCTTAAATGAATCAATCTTCACACTATGGTGCTTTAAAACCTGTCAGTTATCATTAACAGACACGTAATGAGCACTCAGAGATGCCAAGTACTGCTCCAAGCATTCGATAACTTTATGAAGAAGGTATTAATATCCCCATTTTACAGATAAAAACGTTAGGTATGAAAAAGCTCGTCTGCCCCAGGTTCCCCGACAAATATAGGTAGGATTTGGACTCAGTCTGTCTGACTCTGGAGCATGTACCATTGTTCACTACATAAAGCTGCCTGTTAATCATGTACTTCCTGAATTCCCTCTTTGCCCATAGGTTAAATAGTATCTTCTCTTCCTGGTATGACTTAAATATTCACTGGGATTTGATTGGTCTCATTTCCATACATTTGCACCTTGAGATGTTTGTACAGTTGGCAATTAGAAGTCCAGGTTTAGAACCTGAGAGTAAGTAATGGGTCAAGATTAGGTAGAGGGGCCGGCAGGTGACATGGCGGTTAAGGGCATGGGACTCCCACATGGCTGACCGTGGTTGAAGTCCCAGGCCTAGTGGCTTGCTTTCTCAATTTCCCACTCTTTTTCTCTTGCTCTGTCCCTCTCTGGTCAAATTAAAAATTAAGTTAAATTAAATTAAATAATTGTTAAAAAAAAAAAAAAAAGATTAAATGGAGTATAGCATTGTAACCCTTCACTCTTCGGTGATCAGTGTCTTCTGATTTCTGTGGTTGTTCCTGGTTGACAGGTCAGTCCTGGAACCACTTTTAGAGAGGAGGGCCTCCTCTGGTGCCAGAAGTGAAGACCTGCCCCTCAAAGAGGACAATGAAAACCGGATCAGCAAGTTCAAGAGAAAAGACTGGACTTTGAGCAAGTCTCAGGTCATCTCGGAGAAAGCTGCAGAACCTGATTTGATGGTAAAAAAACAGCAAACAAACAAACAGAAAACACCATTAGTTCGGCACTGCCTCTTGTAACCGGGCTTGACACCGTTCACTCTCTACCATTCACTCCCTAGCAGTGGATCACCAGATAGGAGCCCGCCTGTGGCTTGTCTCGGTGCACAGTAGCCTGTGGTGGTGGTAGATCTCAGACCGTGGTTAAAAAGGGCATGGATGGGGCATTTAAAGTCTCAAAATCAGTGCTGGCACAAAATCTCATAACCACAATATAAACTTGTGGGTTAGTGCTTCGAGTTGTGGTTCTCGCCACCGTGTTCTATGAGTCAGCGCAAACACTATCATGTCTTTTCTTTTCTAATTAAAACAAAAACATGCTGGGGCCAGCAGGTAGCATGGTAGTTAAGACATTGGACTTCCACATGACCAACTGCGGTTCAAGTCCTGGACCTGATGGCTTTGAAAATCATGCCAGGCACTTGTGCATGTGTGCCCAAAATCCCAGGAGGAGAATGAAGGAAAAGGTATTGTGGAATGGTCGTCCTCCGTGGGAGGCGATTTCTCACTTTCCCTCTCACCATCTCTGTCTCTCTCCATCAAGCACATATGCCATATGGCAAAAGCCTTAAAAAAAAAAAAAAAAAAAAAAAAAAAAAGTACTTTTTCTTCCATAAGCTAGCTGGCTGGCTAGTGTGGCAAGAACAGTTTCCTTGACAATCAGTTGGCTTATTTCCAATATGAATTATACAACTAAACTATTCAGTTAGAGACCAGCAGTTAGCTTAGTGGCTATGTCACTGGACTCCCATGTAGTCGACCACAGTTCAAGTCCTGGACCCAGTGGCTTAAACTCACACCAGGCACATGTGCATGCATGCCCAAGGTCCCAAGAAGAGAATGGAGGAGCAGGGATTGCAGCACAGCCATTGCCCCTGGTGGGTGATTTCTCGCTTTCTGTCTCTCTGTCTCTGTCTTTCTGGCGAGCGCACATACCCTATATAGCAAAAACCTATCAAAAAAAACCCACAACTATCAAAATAGTTGGGCTATCAAATTCAATCTGGGACTCTCCAGAAGATAACCTATGGTGCAGTGTTATGAAGCCTGTGGTGGGCACCAGGTGGCATCTCTGTCATGGCACCCATCGTATGACAGTATAATAAACTTAAAATGGCCCCACAAACTATGCGGGTTTTTTTTTTCTTTAATTTTTGCCATAGAGTGTGTACACTCACAGGATGCAGAGAGAGAAGGAAAGTGAGTAATCACCCCCTGGGAGCTGGCCACACCACAACCACAGTGCCTTCTATTTCATTCTGTTGGGACTTTGGATATGCACGCACACATGTCCAAACGCTTGTTTGTCAAGCTCCCAAGTCCAGGAATCAAACTGCACAGTCAGCCGTGTGGTATCCAGCACATTAGCCACCACGCCACCTGCTGGCCACAAACTAAGTCTTTCTTACAAGTTTCAGCTCAGCAAACAGGCTGTTCAGAGCATTGTGGAGCCTAGCCTACCTTACCCTAAGAATATTTTGCTGTGTTTTTCCGTCTGGCTCCAGAGCCCAACCCGAAAAGCTCAAAGACCCAAGAGTCTCCAGCTGTCGGACAATCGGCTAACACCGTTTCATTGTTCTTCACCTCCTCAGTCAACACCCTTGAGCCCACCTCCACTCACTCCTAAAGCCACCAGGACCCTAAGTAAGTTTTCCTATATCTTATATCTTCTGTTTACTAGGAAATGGGGTATGTGTGTGAGCTTGGGAAATTTTTAACCAAATCAGCCACAAAGTATATGAGACTGTTGTAAAGTTGGTTCAGTTTGATGCTTGTGGGTTGGGTATACTCCAGTTATACTGGTGTTGGCCAAGGAGGTCTTAAGCCTCTAGGACTCTCTGAACTTCTCTGTATAGTGAGCTAAAGGGTTTTAATGTCCCTTTTCCAATCGTAAAGTTATAAATGCAGTAGATCCAAACCAGTTCTTGTACAGGGACAAGAAATGGTCCATTTTGTATATTGTTTATAATCTGGTTCAGGGAACCAGCAATATACCATGCTTGAGAACAATTACAAGGTGCCCATAGTGCAGAGACATAATGGAGGGAGAAATCTATCAGTGCCAAAGGGGAGACAGTAGTTAACCAAGAGTTAGACATAAATCAGGGAAGGTTTTCTAGAAGAAATGTGTATTTTCCTATGCACATGGGATATAACAGAGAACAGAATAATACCCAAAGTTTTAGAAACTGTTTCATCTCTAGCTTAATAGTAAAGACTGAAAAAATGGAAGTTTGGCGTTAGATGTTTCCATGAAGCTTGGGAGGCCTTCTGGTGAGTGAAGGGTGCTACCCTTGTCTGTGAGGTAAGAGGTCTTCATTCTGTCCACAGAAACCAGGGGTACCATGGGGTATGATTTTAGCAATCTGATTGAATGGGTTGGTTTAGATGTAATGAAAGCAAGCAGAATTTCGAGGAGATTCCTCGATAAACTTTTTCTCTGCCTTTGTCTACTTTGTACCATTTCTAGGCTCCCCATCTTTGCAGACAGATGGGCTGGTGACTGCTCCTGTCCCACCTCCTCCTCCCCCCAAAAGCAAGCCCTATGAAAGCAGCCAGAGGAACTCCACAGAGGTAAGGAGATTGTGGCCAGAGAGCAGCACTCCTGGGAAGACACATTGAACTCCGAGCTTCTCAGTAGACAGATTCTTCACGTACTTGTCACTGTGGTCAATTCTTGGCTCATTCAGAAACCACGAGATAGGAAAGTTTTCCATAGAAAGAGTATACAAGCTGACATTTCATGGGCAGTGTCTGTGGTATGGGGGGGTGAGATAAGAGGTGAGTGCTAGGGCTCACATCTTCAGGGTGAGGAAGCAGCATTCTGGAATGACCTGTGACCATGGCTTAAGTCCCCTGCCTGGTAGGCCTGAAAACATGCCAGGCATTTGTGTTCATGCCTAGGATCCCGGCAGACCAGAGGACTGGAGGAAGGGGATCACAGCGTGACTGAGCCCTTAGAGTGTGTTCCTTCCTCCTTTTCTCCCTCTCCTCTCCTCTGCCCCTCTTGTGTGCACACACTTGTTCCATCGTGAATGGAAAGAAAAGTGATGGAGCAGGGGATAGCAAATCAATCATATGTCCCTTTCCACGTGGCAAAAGCTGTGTGGACAAACTCAGATCAATCATAAGCCAGAGCAGAATGGGGGAAATGAGGTATAGAAGGCAGAGTCGGGAAGAAAGCTAAATCATTTCTAACTTCTTGTGTCTGATCCCACAGATCCCTCCACCACTGCCAGTCCGAAGAGAAGCCAAAGCCCCACCTCCACCACCTCCCAAAACTCGGAAATCTGGC